GAGCTTGTCGGCGAACTTGAGGCCCTTATCGATTGAGGCTTGCGAGCTGTCGATTAGTCGCACGGGAACTGAGGCCTTTTGTGCTGCTACGAGGGCAATTCCAAGACCCTGAGTATGTCAGAATGATTGGTATGTCATGTGAGAGATCAATTGATGCGTACCATCTGGCCAGCTCCAATTACACCCAGCTTCTTCACCTCAGCGGCGGCCCCAACAGAGGGGGTGGAGCTAAAAGTACGGCATTGGTGTCTGGTTGCGCACCGGGCGGCTTGTCTTGAGGCTGCAGAAAACATTGTGATTGTTTGTATCGGTTCCAATGGAATTGAAGTGCAAGCACTGAGTATAACGAGCAAATTGTTCTGATGCACAGCATGCCACGGGGCCAGCCGATTGGAACCGCGCACAGCTAGCCGAGGCATGACGTTGACTGGTGGGCGGGCCAGAATGCGGCAGAATGCGGGACGCTCAGCCCTATGCTTGGCGAGTTTGCGCTGTTTGAACCAATTTACGCGTCGACGCGTCTTTGGGACTAACACCAAGAACGAATTGATGGGTGAATGAATATACGGTCATACGGCACCTTGACACAACCACGACGACAATGGCCCAGACTACCCTCGACGAGTGGGTGTCGGACCCTGTCAACCCTGAAGTGCGCGCCCATGTGTACAGTCTAATTTCTGCCGTACGTCTTCTTGCTCACTTGTACCATTCGCCGCTAAATAGTCGTCCAGCTTGGCGGTATCGGCGACGATGGAACATATTCGCTCGGGCACGATGCTCTACTATGTCTTAAGGACCTCCGAAAATGGCTCAAGTTTGCGGACGGAGCCCATAACCGCCGGGACGTTGCTCGGTGCATGGCAGAGGCAAACCTCGTTAAGGGAGACTTGCTAGAAATCCTGGCAAAGATATCGCCGACAGTTGTAGAAAGTGGATGGAAACACAAAATCGCAGTGGCCACACGTATGCAGCAGTATCATATTGTCTGGCTCCTTACTGACTGTCTCAGTTGAACTCCTCGTCCCTCTAACATGGCCTTTTGAAATCGACCCCACCGAAGCGACCGTCAACCACCATCGCCATGGTCCCTACATCCAGCTTGCCCAGATGGGCTACAAGCGCGCAATTCTACAATTTGACCGAGACAGGACCCTCCAGACTGCCGTCAAAATCGCTCTTCCGTCCATGGCAGTGCCCCTCCGAGAACGAACGCCCCGAGACGAAGGCATCATTCGCATCGCCTTGTACTTTATACGCAATATCGCCATGCTTTCACCCCCGAACAGCGCACCCATGGATATTGACGAAGCCGAGGTGTCTCGTTCTGCTACCATTGACACCTTTCATGAGCAGGATATATTCCAGGCCATACTAAGTATTGCGTCAAGCATCGGAGAGGACTTTGTCAGTCAGGACGTCATAATCCTCGAGATTCTGTTCTTTCTCCTCAAGGGAATCGACGCCGAGAAGTTGTTTATGGAGGACAAAAAGCTGAATTCAAAGAACAACGACGAACTTAAGAGCCTGATTCAGAAGGAAAAGGCCATGCTTGCAGGCTATGCACGCAACGCACCAACTAGACACAATCGATTCGGCACAATGATCTGGATAAAACGAGATGACGAGAAAGTTACTACAATCTCTGGACAGGACGTGCTGGGCAAGGCGCAGGCCAGTATGCAAAAGATGGATGAAACCAAAAAGTGGAACAAGCCCAGGCGACCCGGACGCAAGCAAGATAGCGCTGAGGAGAGGGAGGAGTTTGACCTGCCAGTGCCTCTGTCCTCTTCAGCCCGCAAACACATCAAAGCCTTTGTTGAAGAGTTCCTCGACTCGTCATTCAACCCCCTGTTCCTACACCTTCGCAAGGCCATCGAGCGGGAAACCGAACGAGTCGAGACAAGGCACCCCAGGCAGTTCTTTTACCTCGTTTCATGGTTTCTACGAGCAGAGTGCGCTCGCCGGCGGACAATGAAGGAGAGGGCCGCTGATCCCAAGAGTCCAGAGGTTTTGTCTGCCGAGGACGAAAGCTACGGTCTGGTCGCCGAGGTCATGAACCAGGAGACCTTTATCCTACTCAACCGTTTCATGCAGAGGAGCCAGGACGAGAAGGCATGGCGAGATCTGAATGCTGGGCTCAAGTGCTTCACACAAATCTTGCTGACTGTACATGAAATGTCAGAGTCGGCACTAGAAGATGACCAGGAGATTGCTGAAAATATCCAGAACCGTATCTTCTATGAAGAAGCAACACACGACCGGATAGTCGCCATCTTGAGATCATACAAGGATCAAGGTTTCGGCTATTTAGATGCTGTCACTGAGCTATCTCATGTCTTCTTGCGGATGCTGGAGCGCTATTCCAAGCAGAATGTGGACATGCAAATCCGATCAAAACGAAGGACACGCAAGATTAAAAAGAAGAAGGCAGAAAAACAGGGGGAAGAAGCAGAAGAGGAGGGCCATGTTTCCGAGACCGAAGACATTCAACAAGCCCAGAAGACTGTTTCGGAGCGCAAGTTTGACTTTCACCGCTTTTCGGCAAAGTTTGTGAACCAGAGCAGTATCAATACCTTTGTGGCTTTCACTAGGTACTTTAACGATCTGGACACTGAGCAGTTGAAGCGTGCACATCGCTTCTTCCACCGCGTGGCGTTCAAGATGGAGCTGGGGGTACTCCTATGCAGAGTTGACATTCTCCATCTATTCAACAAGATGATGAAAGGTCCTGGAGGCCTTGATCCAGAGTCGCCGGTTTACAGGGAATGGGACGAGTTTGTCAAGCACTTCTTCAGACAAGTAGTGAAGAAGGTGCAAGAGAGGCCAGAGCTTGTAGTCGAGATGTTGTTCAGCAAGATCCCGGCAACTCTCTTCTTTCTTGAACATGGCTACGAGCGTGAGGTGCCGACCAAAGCACCACGAGCACCGGCAGAGCTGGAAGTCAAGCCTGGCCTAGAACCACCAGAGAAAATTGGTGTTGCTGTTGGCGTGCTTGTCAATCAGTCCAAATCAGACGCCCTCCGGTGGGTCCGAGATGTTCTCACATCAGCAGCTGAGGAGCGAAAGGCGTGGGAAGAGGCTGCAGAAGCACAGAAGTTATTGACTGCAGAGATGGAGCGCCCTGAGGACGAAACACCAGCCGAAGATACAGAGGCTGAGGCGGCCAAGCCGCCATCCATTGGTAAGCAAAGTTCTGAAAGATTATCTCTTTATGTTGGCTGACCGATATGTGCAGTAATCAAACACGACAGTGAAGAACGTCGTGTTGCTATGTTCAAAGACAACAAGCTACGACTACTCATGAAGTTGGTTGGCTTCGAACGACTAGGCGAACATCACGATCCAGACGCTGTATGGGTCGTACCATCAAACCTCACATCAGCACAACTACAAGAGTCTATCGATCTCATCCGCAAATTCGAATTTGACCCGCCAACATACGAGGACGGCAAAACACCAGAAGATCTACTCCGCAGCGCGACCGCTGCAACACGCCGCTCGACTCGTCGTGTCGACTTCGACGATGATTCAGACAACGGCATAGACGACGACCCCGAAGACCATGGCGAATACGCCCAAGGCGGTCCCACAACACGCGAAGGCGACGCTCCCCACAAGAAACTCAAGCGACGGCGCCGCCAACGCTCCCCCGTCGAACTTGACGACGAAGAAAAAGACCGCCGCGCCGAAGCCCGGCGCAAAAAAGAAATCGAAAAGCAAGCAAAAGCCCTCAGCACAATGTTCGTCCACGACTCGGACGATGAAGACTGGGACGCAGAAAAAGACGCGGCCTTCTTTGCCCGCGAAGAAGCCATCCGCCAGGAAAACATGCAAGTCTTCAAGAAATCCCTCGTCCTCGGTACCGTCGAACCTGTTGCTTCGAAAAAGCGCAAAGCAGATGATCCGACGGAGAAGAGTAAGCGGCGCAAGAGCCCGCCGAAGCGGAAAGCGCTGTTTGATGATAGTGACGATGATGAGGAAGACGAGAATCGCGCGAGTAGTAGAGCTACATCCGAAGCTGCTGGAAACGACCTAGATGATGGAGAAGAGGAGGAGGATACACCGCTCTCCTCGCAAAACCCCGGGGCAGCGACGGCGAGTGAGGGAGATGTTACGCCGAGGAAAGAGGTAACTAGTGGGGAGAAGAGTGTGGATGTTACGATGACGAATGCGGATTCGGATGATGACGACGATGATGTTGCTGCGCCGACTAGACGGCCGGTCAAGAGAAATACGAGGGCGGGGTTTGTGGTTGATAGTGATTCGGAGTGAGGAGGGCGTGAGTGTGAGGATTTGGTGAATTTTGGTTTGTGCTGTGGGATACCCAGTCTTTTTTACGTCAATGAAAGATTTTGTTGTGGTGATTTATTGGATTAAGTTGCGTATTTGTCGTGATGTCTTTGCAATGGTGATGGGAGATGGCTTGTCCCTTTTTACAATGTGTCTTGGGACAATCATGTGCTGAGGACTCGTAGCGCGATATTCTAGATAGGGGATGGTTAAGATCTTGAGAGTAGCCGTGTTTATCTTTTGATGGACGTTTGAATCCGAGCTGGGGGAGAGAGGAGTAGTCTCACTTCTATATACGTCTGACTGGGCAAAGCATAGCGGTAGAGCCTTGTTTGAAAGGGTATATCTGGGCTGTTGGACTTGCTTGTAGTCTGTCTCTTTTTCCTCTTTCTGTGTGGTGAGAAGTTGTGCCTATGTCGTCGGTGCGAATTCATAGTCTAAGCGAAATAGTGACAGTCACGGTCAAAAGGCAGAGTGTATCTTATAGGGTAGAATTCATGTTCATTTGATCAAGTCTGGTCCGTTATGGTCTGCAGGCTAGACCTGTGGAGTGGGGTCTGTTAGTGGACCTGCGTAATCTAGAATACATGATAGCAAGTTATATGCTTGTTTTTTTTTTCCGATGCCTCGCCCGTCGCATGTCACCAAGTCCTGTCCCCATGGCAGCTGAAGCATCTTGATTTCGAGTCATAGTAAATCCCATGATCTCATGGCTGCCGGCACGGTCTAGCAATGGCTTTCAATGTATCTACCAGAGCTTGATGAGGATATTTATCAAGAACATCGAGAAGGCCAGCATCCAGTTCGTCCTTCTCCTCCAGGTGATATGCAAGTTTTGAAGCAATAATGCGCCGAAGTAGAGAACTGGAAGGGGTTTTTTTCGTAAATCACGCTTACACACTCTGCTGTAGGCCAGCGCATATAGCAAAATAGGGTCTCTCGCATCTCGTTAAACATCTGTCGGGTGAAAACTGAATCGATGATCTTTTTTCCGTAGATGTGTGCTTTTGCAAGCACAATGAAGTTTTTCTCCGCTTCTCTGGAGAAATTTTTATCATCAAAATTGCATTCTTCCATTGTCATGCATAGCTTGCTTGAAATTTTACCCGTGTACAGCCACTCGATGTACATCTTGACCGTTTCCGTGCAATCCTCAGGAAGATCGATGACATGGGGTTCGTCTTTCAAGCCAGCCCACTCTTTTTTCATGGCGGTTTGAAAGAATTTTGAGCTCTTGCAAAGGACACCTTGGTGAACGTAAAGTCCGTCAGTGCCACCAGCGGAATTTTTGACGTTCAGCGTGACGATTGGGTCGCGTGGGCTGTACTTATTAGAGACTGAATTCACATTTGTGCAGTCGAACTTACTCCATCTTGGTCGTTTTGTAGAAAAGAGGGCTTTTCGAGCTTTGCAGTCAGAGCCAGTGTTTTGATAACATTCGGGAGTGAGTTCAAAGGAAGGAGTGCAATTGCAGTTTGCGTTACGAGACCTTGGCGGCCTCTTATTTAGACTTGCGAGACTGTGGGAAGTGACTGCGGCTGGTCCTATCACTTGCCTGAAGTACAAACCATGGTCACTGTAATATGACGTCGCCATCGTAGTGAGAGAGACTGAGAGAAGGCAGGTAATTCAAGAGTGAAATTGAAAGAAGATGAGACGTACCTTACGACGTCGCTAGACATCCATCGTAACGGGTTAAATGAGATACTTTCTTACGCTGGAAAATTGGTACTCCCTACCATGAGGTATGGTAGGGGTATGATGGTGGTCGTACGGGCCGCGGGTAGAGGTTGGGTAGGGGTAGGGTAGGGTGTTTTGTGAACCCAACCCTACTTTACCTCTACCCTCCATCTCTACCCTTCTACCACCGTATAGCTGCGAACAACGCGGCTGAAACCGAGTAGTACTAAATCAAATCAAATCAAGCAAACAAGCCAATAACACTGGATTTCAATGCCAGAGAGATCAAAGCATAGTCACATGCATATCCACATCACTAAATCATGAAACAGGAAAAGGATTGTAATTCAAGGACACTTCTACAAGTCTACCTAACACATCCATCCACTCATCCATCTATCTATCTATCTATCTATCTATCTGATATACCTCGCCTTCACAAGCAGGGGATCCTTAGCCCACAAAAAGTGCACCTTCTGATCCAGCCAACCCGCACTTTCCGGACACAACTCGAAATCAAAGTGCCAGGTAAGCGATGCAAGAATAACGCGCATCTCATGATTAGCCAGGCTATTTTCCCCAAGAGTGTTAGCTTGTCTTTCTCTTTTACTCGGAAATCTTTTCCGGGAGATGGAAAAGAAACTTACTTCTGACCAATACAATTGCGCGGCCCAACAGAAAACGGATTGCACGCATTCCTGCGATCACTATCGTATCCGGTTCCGGGGAGCCAGCGGTCGGGGATGAAGGAATCCGGATCTTTGAAGTTGGAAGGGTGGTGGTAGGCGGCGTAGTGAGGGATCGCGACGCTGGTCTGGAGAGATAAGAAGGGTTAGCTAGCTGGTTGTGTAGTTCGACGCTTTTGGCGTAGGATGTTGACTTACGCCTCCTGGGATCCATTCTCCACAGATCATGTTGCCACCCTTTGGTGTGATGCGGAAGAAGGCGATTGGGCCGGGCGGGTAGATGCGAAGGCCTTCTTGGATGCATGCGTTGAGGAAGGGGAGACGGGCGAGGTTTTCGAGGTGTAGGTCCTCCTTTCCTAGCGCTCTTACTTCGGCTTGGAGTCTCTGCATGTAGTGTGGATGCTTTAGCAGAAGGAATGTCAAGCCACTCATTAACGTGGCGGTAGTTTCCGTTCCAGCCATCATGAATGCCTGTGCGTGTGCCGTCATCTGCTTCTTTGACATGTCTGGTAGTTGCTCGGCCTTCTCCATGGCAAGCTTCCAGATATCGGGTTTCCCGATGTCGATGCCTCGATTCAGCCGCTTCTCTACTCGCTCGTAGGAGTGGTTGTAGTGAAGGCGTGCGCCCTCCATGACTTCTTTGGTCATGAACATCTTGGTTAGAAATTTCAAACTCTTGTACTCCCGTGCCAGACGTGCGATTGACATTCTTCTAACGTTTTCGAGGACGGCCTGGACCCAAGGCGATAGCTCTGATTGCTCGAGGAGACCAAGAGGCTCTCCGAAAGCTAGATCTGCCATAACGTCAAAGGTCATACAGTTGAGTAGTTTGACGATGTCGAATCCAATAGCTGGGGTAGCTGTTGCGTTGTTCTTGATGATCCTTACGAGTGAGTTGAGGTAACCTTGGATCAACGGCTCCTGCAGCTTCAAAGCCTTGTCGCTAAATGCCGGTGCAAAGACCCTTCGATGCGTCCTGTGAACCATTGTATCGGGCTGCGAGCCTAAAGATAATGTACCAGCGAAGTCTGGCCCGAATGTCGCGGGGTCTTTTGTGTTCTCAAGGCGCTTGCCCGCTCCAGGGCCAGCGATATCCTTCCAAGCTTCAGGTGTCACGTAACTCAGTCGATTAGGCCCAAGCCGCACGACTTCACCGTATTTCCTGTGCATTTCTGCTTCCCATGCTACCTCTTCGCCACGAAGAACCTTATAGGAGAAAACCAATCCAGTGGCTGCTGCGAGTTTTGGCCCGGGGACTAGTGAGGCGGCTTAGTGGACGACATCGTTTGGACGAGTAGGCTTTACATACATTTTCGTAAAGGGTGGAGATACAAATTATATAAGCGGGTAAGGATGAATTGCACGATAGCCTGCGTTCTAGTTAACGAGTTGTCAAGATGAAGTAGTGATAGGCCCCCTTACTGCACCAAGGAGGCAACCAAACATCGTCCATAGACTTTTGGCCTCCAGGAAGGTAGAAATGTGGTAAGGATGTTGTGGATTCCCCATGGTGAAAAATTAGGATCTGAATCATGCGTTTGGGATCCTCTCTGTATCACGGTGGGTGTCTGAAAGATGTTTGCAATGGTTAAGCAGCAACACAAGAGGAGAGCTTTTAAATCATAGATGGCAGATGATGCTCGTACGAGCCATATAGTGGATATGATACAAATGAATGTCTCATTGGTTAACAAGACCCATTTGCGATCATCGCACTATAGGGGGCGGCGCATCGGGGCATCGGAGCATCGGAGCGTCGATGTATCTCTATGTAACAGTTCATGAGAACAATAGAAAGTGAGTAGTACGTAAGTTGTAACCATACAAAGCGAGAACTTGGGTTTTCGGAATTCAATGGCCTTTTCGCACTTGAGGGCCCTTTCTGGAGACCAGTTGACACGTGTGTTCAATATGTAACCTTCTGGGTTGCTCTGTTCTTAGACATAGTAACAGGTCGTTGTAACTGTTAAAATCCCTCATATAATGTGGAGCCTACAAGCAATAGACCTGCGTAACTGTAACGCATATGTAGAGCGCACTATTGGATAGAGCAAGGAATAGGAGCATAGCTAAGATTAAAGTACTCGTCACACAACAGGGTTGTTATGGGCACGGGAGAGGGAAACAATAGCAAATAAATAGTCTGTCTTCACTATAGATGAATAGCTACCGAGCCAAGGTAGTGTTCATAAGGCTTACATTCAATTTGTTGAGTAAGACGTGACTAAGAGGGCCTCCTTTGGGCTGATAGTCCACAAAGGGAGCCATGGGGGTTCAGAGGAGGCTAGAATCTGGCAGTACTCTCTTGAGACCGGTAAAAGAGTAGCGGCCGTAGTATTGAGGTAGCTACTGGTGCTAATACTAAAGTACTAAAGCAGTTTGCGGGCAATTAGGTCTAGACCAACGACGTTCGCTATTCATTTATTGTCCCCGCTATTTACCCCGCTCTTTCTTTGCCTTGAACCTTTGATGCTAGCAGGGAGGATGACTACAATACATGTGTCCATGGGGTCATGACTAGCATGTAAGGAGTATGTAGAGCGAATGATCTTGTATGTGTCTGTCTAAAAGCCAACGTCTTCGTATCGAAATAGGCTGGTATAACTGCCAATAGGCGATGCAGAACCAACAGGCATATCTGTATTGTGAGTGCGATGTTCCATGCGTGCGGTACCCGTGAGAAGTTGTAGCTCTACATGCAAGGCTCCAACTTACACAACGTTGATGGGATCCAGGTGGTCTACTTGATTTACTCCCACAGAGACCTGTTGCTTGCTAGATGCAACTCGATGTCCGATTGGGTTTTCAATTGTAGGGCGTTAATGCACACCAAGAATGGTATAATGTCGAATCTGGAGTAAGCATTGCAAATATTATCGCAGAGGAGACTACCGGATGCCTCAGCGGTTGTAATAAAGTCTATAGCCGTTCGACACGTAGCAGACAACCGCCATGCAGCTACCAGGCTAATGACGGCTGCTTTTCCTATCGTTTGTCACATTTATTTTCCGAAATAAAGCCCGAACGTGTAACAGTGTGGGATCGTCTATCCACGTATTGCATATTATGGCTCTGCGTTGTTCAGCTTTCTATTTATCTTTGAAAACGAACTTTGCAGCGAACCATAACCAAGTAAACTTTGGAATACATAATTTTCGAATCTGCAGGTTGCATAATATTTGCTTCCACGAAAACCAAGGCAAGGAAACTATGCCGAGTACTCGGAGCGTTTGCGAGGGTGGCGCAAAATTTTAAGTTTGAACATTGGTCGATGACTAGGCCGATGTTGTGATCTAGAATGATTATGTGATTATGTCGAACAAGGATCCGACATGTGGCCCAGTGGCGTACTCGAAGGTTGTCCATGAAATGGACTAAATATAAATCTTTGACAGAAACTTTTATCGGAAACAGTCTTGGATGCGTGTAGTATATGTCAGTCAGCACGAAGACGAGAGGCCGTAGTGGAAAAGTCAAACTGGAAGGTTTGGTCGTGTGTGTCGTGTGTGCTTGCAACTCATCCTTTTCAGGTGGATGACAGTAAGCTTACTGCCGTTGCAGAAAATTTGTATGATTCAGATGCATGTTGTCAATGCCAGAGATAAGGCGAGTGAAGATAGCTTACAATTGGGTTTGGTTGGGCTTGAAGGCTCGTTTGTTGGGCTTACTGTTCATTATCCGGGTCCGACCGCGGCGCAGTTGCCATGCCGAGTTGTCGCCGCCACCAAGCCTCTCACCGGAAGAGGCGCACCCTTCAGCTACATGCCAACATTCTCCAACCAATGGACTATTGTCTAACAATCTCTCCCGTGGTCTTGTCCAAACGGGCCACGACTGCTGCAGATGAGGCTGGAGCGGACAATAGCTTCAGTGCCAGCAAGGATGCCGGGTAGATAGCCGAGATGGTGTGGCCGCCATGGCGGGATTGCGGGAGTTTGGTTCGTCGATGCTGGAAGCGCGGCAGATCGACGGTATGTGTATGGAGACCTGGTCAGAATTCAGGTAGCGGCGCAATTCGGAGGGGGACAGGGCAGATACATAGAGGGCCAGTCTCTCCTGACTCTAGGTTTTAGCTCTAAACCACGGATTCCGCCGCTTCTTCTTCGGTGCAGCAGCTGGAGACGAGTGGATCATTGTGGAGAAAAACAGCCCGGGAACAAAGAGTGACATCACCAACACCGCCATTCCTATCCCACCTACTCTTCCGCCCTGCATGTCCCCTGCGACCTGGCACTTGGCAGCATGGACCGAACCGCCCAGCATCTCGCAATCACCCGACCGCCTCCCGCCGATAGCTTCCCATCCATTGCCAGCATCCAGAGGCCGGCATCACGTGCGTCGACCGAGTCGGTGTCGAGCGCAGAGGAGAGGCTACAGTGGCGCAGTCACCCCAACGTTGCAACTCCGTTTCCAGACTCGACGGAACACAATCCCTTTGATGACCCTAATCTAAACTCGTTGTTGCCGCTGAGCCACCAGGCCGACGGTGCGCGCGAGCAGATACAGAAGGAAGAAGTCGAGGATGCGTGCCACGACGATTCAAAGACCGACACAAACGCATCTGACAAGACCGAGGAACCCAGGCCTTTGGCTCCCATCATCAGCAATGTCAGTACCAGACGTAGCGCCCGAGGCACCCTCAAGAGTGATGTACCCGAGAAGCGGAAGCAGCTGAGCTTCAAAGAGCGAATACGGCATTTTACCTGGACCTGGTTCTGTCTTACAATGGCTACTGGAGGCATTGCAAACGTCCTGTACAGTGTCCCGTTCCGCTTTCGAGGCCTCTATGCCATTGGCTGCATCTTCTTCATCCTCAACATCGTCTTCTTCCTATTCAACTGTGTCATGATCTCTCTCCGTTTCTACTTTTACCCTCGCACCTTCAAGGCCTCGTTTTTGCATCCAACTGAGAGCTTGTTCATTCCCGCCGCCGTAGTCAGCTTCGGCATCATCCTAATCAACGTCAGTCAGTACGGTGTCCACCATTCAGGTCTGGGCAATTGGCTGGAGAGAATCATGATTGTCTTGTTCTGGATGGACTGCGGCCTTGCTGTCTGCTTTTCCGTAGGCATATATTTGCTCATGTAGGTCGTTCCAAGCAGTCTCCTCGCTCATGTACATACTAACCAACGCAGGTGGTCCACAACAACATTCACAATCTCTCAAATGACGCCCATCTGGATTTTCCCCGCCTATCCACTGCTCATCATTGGTCCCCACGCTGGCAACCTAGCCCCCAAGGTCGAGAATCCAACCACAGCCCTCACTATCATCCTGACCGGTTACGTTATCCAAGGAATTGGATTCCTTGTCTCGCTCATGATCTATGCTGCCTTCATCTACCGCCTCATGACGCAGAAGCTCCCTAAGGAGTCGCTTCGCCCCGGTATGTTCATCAGTGTTGGTCCCTCGGGTTTCACCATAGCAGGAGTTGTCACAATGGGCCAGGAACTTCCGAGGGTTGTCGCAAGTGACTTCATGGGAGAGGGGAACGGCGAAATCGCAGGCAAGGTCGGCATGATCTGCGCAAACTTTCTCGGACTCTGGCTCTGGGGCCTTGCACTCTGGTTCTTCCTGATAAGTGTTGGCGCGCATTGGTCGTGTGCTAGGCGAGGAAAGATGGACTTTGCAATGACGTGGTACTCGTTCATCTTCCCCAACACTGCGCTGACAACATCCACTTTTGCAATCTCCCGATGCCTCAACAACAACAGGCCCATTGCATACATTGGTTGTGTCATGACCGTTGGTCTCACAGCCATGTGGTTTTTCGTTATTTTTATGAACGTCCGGGCCGTCTTAATCCACCAAATACTCTGGCCAGAGAAGCAGGAGGATAGGACCGAGGGAGGCTGGAAGCAACAAACTGCCGAAGAGCAACAGAGGAGACAGCGCGAAAGAGAACTCGCTGATGGAGGAGAAAGCATCAGAGAACGCGCATGGAACAGAGCCAAAACTTTTCAGAGGAGAGATCGGGCTCCTACCTTTGATGGCCAGGGAGCACCCATGCCATCATTGGCCCGGGCCCAGACTGAGACAATGGCTAGGAAGAGAAGATGGAGTTTCAGAAGGTGAACGAAGAGCATGAGGTGTAGTTGCGATTTGGAATATGGAGTTGCATAGGAGAGCTCAAGGTTGTTTGTCGCTTTTGAGTCGAATTAGTCGATACCCCTATGAGCGTTTCGCATTAGATTGTACCACTTTTGCATTTACGGATAGAAAAAATAGCAGTCTCTTTATGAATCACAAAAAATTCACTCCAAATTGCTAATACGCTATTTCCAAAAATTATCTTGCAGTGAGGGTTTGTAAGTTGGTTGTTCACGACCCACGGCAACAGCCGTGACGTAGTGGGGACCGTTGCTCCACGACATCCCCACCTCGGCTTCTCCGCAATCACTACTCAACATCAAAATCAAACTCAGATATACCACAACAGCTTGCATAGAAGGCTAAGTCTTGGCACAGCGTTTCAATAGGGTTCATCTGGCGGAGTTGGTGAGTATTGGACTCCGAAGTACCCTCGCGTACATTTCGACTTACATTGATGTAATCTGGACCTTTTTTCCTTCAACCACCCACGCACATCATTTCCTAAGATTATCTTTGGTGACTGTTCTATCATTTTGTATATAATACTTGATACTCCCAGTTCGTGCCAAGTAACACTAACTGAGTACTCGCCAGGCTAGTTGCCAGACCTCGAGCCTCTCTTTCACTCCAAGACTCATACTCTAGCCTAAAATGGCTACCGGAGATAACCAGGGCGGGCCTTCTCATGCCAACGCACCCAAGAGTAACGAAACCTCAGCAAATACAGCCTCAATTGGTGCCATGGGTGACCAAGCAAGTACCGACCCTAGCGATATCGTCTACACGCCTCCCGAATCCATCACTGGCATAGCTTCCTCGCTCGGAAGTGATAACACCTCAACAACGACACTGTCAAATACAAACACACTCACAAACCAGAGCATCTCTGGCGCAGCTTCAAACATCAGCAAGCGCGAATACATCTACTTCCTCCCATACCCCCTCCCACCCGGCACCGAAGTCCCCTACTCGATCCATCTCCCCGAGAAAAACCCACTAAATCTCCCCTCTCACCAATTCGAGCCTACAAATACCCTCGTCCTAACCAGTCCCCTCCGCACCTTCGCCGACATCCGCATCTACAAAGCCTTCACCACATCCACCGCACCCACCCCCAACAGCATCGGCCAAGGCCCCCAGCAACGTCTCGAGTGGGCCTTCGCAGGTACCTCGACATCAGTGCCCATCCAGCCACCTGGCGCATCCGATGGCGGAACCCAAAAGCCACAGGAAGACGAAGAGTGGGAAAACGTAACGCATTCTACATGGAAGCACTGGCTCGATTCACGCTACACCGTCGGTGATCCCAGCATCCCTGTGGATGGGGGCGATATGTATCCGCTGTCTGAAGAATTGACGCTCGAAGTGGGTCATGCGTACCACCCAGCGCTTGAAGCAGTCAAGACGCATGAGGAGATGTGGAGGGATGAAGAAATCAAGTCGACATCTTTACCTGTGACTGGCACTGGAGGAAAGAAACTTTGTGTTGTACTCCGGTGCCACGATGATGCTGCGGGGGTCAGAGGCGTGATTGTGCGTGTGGGACAGTATGTACAGGGTATATTGATGCAGGGGGATAAGACGACGGTGGAGCGCTGGGAGTGGGCGGTGGAGAATGAGGGGGAGGATGAGATGGCGAAGTGGCAGAGGACGGTGAGGATAGGCGGTGCATTTTTGCCCTGTGCGGTGTGTTTCCGGGATGCGGTTCTAGCAGTGGGAGGGAAAGTGCGGTATGGAGAGTTTGAATGGGTGGTTGAGGAGGTTTGGGGATGGGTGTAGAAGAGATTGATTAAGCAACAGTCGAAAGAAAATAATGTAAGAACGCCTGAAATGCAAATCTGAACGGTTGAAAAGAAACCCCTTCGGACACGATGTTAACAGTCGTATCCCCACCCTCCACCCTGCACACTCCTGCCCCTCCCAAAACTCACGTCGACCTCCCTCCCAAAATTCAAGTTGAACCCGCGTCCCCCCTGGATATCCCTCGCAACCCTCAGCCCCTCACTGAACACACTCAACGCGCCATTCACGCCCGCATCCCCCATCCCTAACGACTCAGGCATCCTCGGATCCTCATCCCTCGCCATAACCCTCCTCATCATATCCTCGGTCGCCTCGCCCTGAAACCGCTCAAGCGCCAACCGCCTAATCCCCACCTTCCACGTCTCAAACCACTGCTCCTCACTCACCGTCGTATACCTCTTCTCGCCCCTCTCATCCGTCACGGAAAACGGCCATTCGGCCCTTACAACCGCATACCTCCTCGTCGCAAAGAACAGGAGCGGCCACGAGAAAATCCAGAGAAAGGAGAGGTAGAAGAGCCAGCATACCCAGGTTTTCAGGCGGAGCGTGTTGATGCGGGTCGAGGTGTAGATGTCGATGTTGCGCTCTTCGACGGGGAAGGTGATGCTGATGTTGCCGCGGTAGTTGGTCGAGCGCAGGAGCCCTGTGATGCGGTTTCGGAGCTGGGTTTCTTCTAGGCCGGTGATTTGGCGGCGGAGGCGGAAAATGCGTAACATGCGCGGGGAGGCGCAGTAGCGGTGGCACCATTCTGTCAAGGAAGGTGGAGGGGTGGTGGTGCCGATTTCTATGTCGTTTTTTACTCCGGGGGCGCGGTGGGCGAGGATGGTGCCGCGGTGGGTTTTTTCGCCGTTGGAGGCGGTGACGAGGGACATTGGGGAGGTGTCTGATGGGTCGAAGTTTGGGTGGAGGTAGTGTTGGAGGTTGATTACGATGCGGAAGTCGGTTACGTGGTGAGTTTCTCTCCTGTTGTCGTTTTTGCGGACGGTTTCTTTGTGCGTGCCCATTATGTAGATGAGGGGGACGGGGGCTGATTTGGCGTAGGCGCGGATGGCTTCTTCGAGTTGGGCTGGGTCGGTGTCGTACGCGGGTTCCATGACATCGACTGTCTCGACTACACAGGGCTTGCCGCACTTGAAGCTGGGGCGGTCGTGGTTTGTTCGCGTCGAGGGTGGCGCCACATGGCGGATGGGAATCGCTGAGGCGGAAACATGGTTGCTGGCTTCGCTGTCGCTGTACGAGGGAGGCAGGCCAGAGGGTTCTGGCAGGTCGGTGTAGGCATAGTCGTCTCGTGTGGTGTGGAGTGACACAGCTTCAGGGTCGTCGCGATAGCTGGGCGGAGGAGGGACGGGCTTCCCCATTTTGATGTATAGGGGTGCACGGCACGATGGGAGAGGAGTAGTGAGAGAGCAGAGATAGTGGAGTTAGGAAGAAGATCATCAGTCCTAGTAATATCCAGAGGATGGCAGGCGACCCGTGAAACGCCACATGAGTCTCAGCGCCCACTATCAGGCAACCATTGGTTTATTGGCATGTGAAGGATTCTGATACGCGCCAAGCATCTGCATCTGCTAGCATAATTTTAAATGCCACAAGGTGGTGTGCATATTGGTGAATTTCCATAGGTGAAAGTCATTCACGTGCCCTTCCTCGCATGTGTCTTGAGACGAGGCGGCGTATACAAACATGACGCGGGGAAGGGTCAGGCACGGAGACGCTAGTGAAGCTTAACTCCGGAGCCAAAAATTTGGAGCTCGACGCGACAGCGGCCCGGCCAAGGACATTGCATATTCACTGTACAGTCATATCCCGTGTCTGACTGGACTACAGCCTCAAATCTGGCCTCCGTCACTCCCTGGATCCGCCGTATATGTGGATTGCGAGCGCGCCCAGTCATCACCCGCAAAGCATGGGCTACCGGTAGCTTTCTTCTTCGCGCATTCCACACAACCTCCACCATGGCTTCCAACGACGTTCCCATGGCCGACGCAGTGGCGCAAACCATCGACGCAGCTCCCCAAGCCGGTCAGCATATATCCCACGAAGGCAAAGAATATACCACCATCAAGGAAGGCCTGGCGCATATTCTTGTCCCACATGGCGTACCCACCTCGACCGATCCAAAACTGTCCAAGGAAGAGACCCAGAAGCAACAGGTCTTTTACAACCCCATTCAACAGTTCAATCGTGATTTGAGCGTTTTGGCCATCAAGACATTTGGTGAGGATTCTATACGGCGGAAATTGAACAAGCATGAACAGTTCAGGAAAAAGAACGAGCGCAAGAAACAGCGCGCCCAAGCGAGTCGGGCAGCAGGAGATGCGGCGGAACCTGTCGACGAAGCGCCCGAAACGTCCGGCGCCGAGGATGAGGCGACCAGAAAGAGGAAGCTTGCGGAACTTGAACTAGAGAATACTACGGGTCCTTCCAAGAAGCAGAAAACCGCCCCAAACGGGAGCGAGGAAGAAGTGGAGAGCGGAGAAAAAACATCCTGGAAACCACCCTTTAGTATCCTGGACGCACTATCTGCTACCGGTCTACGTGCTCTCCGATACGCCAAGGAGATTCCCTTCGCAACCGCTGTCACTGCCAACGATATGTCTCCCAAGGCGGTAGAGTCGATCAAGCTCAACGTCAAGCACAATAAGCTGGAGGACACCATTACGGCAAATACAGGCAACGCTATAGCCTACATGTACAGCTTCTGCGACAAAAAGGGCTACGATGTCATTGACCTTGATCCATATGGCACTGCCGCTCCTTTTATCGATGCCGCTATTCAAGCCGTCAACGACGATGGACTGCTCTGCGTCACCTGTACCGATTCGGCCATATTTGCGTCACATGGATACCTGGAAAAGACTTACTCGCAGTATGGCGGCCTGCCCTTCAAGGGCGAGCCATGCCACGAGGGTGGACTGCGCTTGATCTTACATGCCATAGCATCCTCAGCTGGCCGCTATGGCATGGCTGTTGAGCCTTTACTGTCCCTCTCCATCGACTATTACATTCGAGTCTTTGTGCGAGTGCGAAAAGCGCCCAATGACGTAAAGCTACTCGCTGGCAAGACGATGCTCGTATACCACTGTGAAAGCGGTTGTGGCGCATGGTCTACACAGTTTCTGGCACGGAACAAGGTCACCAAGAACAAAAACGGCGACCCGATGTATAAACATGGCTTTGCACAGGGACCCTCCGCGGATCAGCATTGCGAGCATTGCGGACACAAGACCCACCTCTCGGGACCAATGTACGGTGGCCCGCTGCACAACGTTGGCTTCATCGAAAGAGTACTAGCGCAGCTCAATGAGGCCGACCGGCAGACGTACCCGACAATGGATCGCATAGAGGGCATGTTGCACACGGCGTTGGAGGAAATCACGTTTGGAGCAAAGCTAGAAAAGTCGAATGGTGCACAAAAGACTGAGGTTCTGGATCCCCTTATTCCCAAGGCCGATCCTGCAGAAATAGATCACCATCCCTTCTTTTTCATACCCAGCGCAGTTGCCAAGGTGGTTCATTGTTCCGCTCCGCCGTTAGCAGCACTACGGGGAGCGCTACGACATGCAGGGTTTAGGGTGACGATGAGCCATTGCAAGCCAGGATCGATCAAGACGGATGCGTCGTGGAAAGACATTTGGCACGTAATGCTTGAATGGGTGCGGCAACGAGCACCGCTCAAAAACCCAATCAAGACAGGAAGCCCGGGACATGCCATTATGGAAAAGGCCAGTGGAACCGGCTATACCAGAAGCATCCCTCCAGAGTCAGCGCCTGCCGACTCGGCGCCAACAGCGCAAGAAGATGCCGAGATGGCCGATGGTGGCCCAGAGACAAACGGGGCCACGCAGCTGCCAGCTTACCTCGAGACCAAGTTCGAAGTCAATTTTGACGAAAAGCTGGGTAGGGATCATGACCGGGGAAAGTACGTCCGCTACCAGCTTGCTCCACGCGAAAACTGGGGCCCAATGGCACGCGCAAAGTGATCCAGGTGTAACGAATGAAAAAATAGCAAGTAACACATCCCTGCCTGCACACGTTGTCTTTGCGATGTCGCCTTGCATTTGCATCGTTTTGCAGACTCGTCTCCAATAATCATTGTCTCTGCATCCGCCCAATATGGACAAATGTTGCGCAAGTCAAACGTCATCGCACCTGTGCTGAGCCAGGACGACAGCAGCCACCAATCGCTTCACCAGGTAGTTTCAATTCATCTCGTTCGTGCGCCCTTTATGCGTCTATTGTTTTTCCCTTAGTCTAGGCGACCATTTTTCGATTCTCATGCTGCCTCCAGCATCTTGGACAGGGGCGACACTCAGATGCCCGCATGCCCGCATCTAGCAGCCAAGCGGAGATTTGTCTGCACCTGTGCCTTGCATATTAGTTATTTGGCGACCGGCTGATGACGGCGGTGTGGATGAACGTTTGGACAGGATCCTCGAGGAAAGAGTATACGCGAGGGCAAGACTCCGCGGAGTAGGCTGGCTAAGACGTGCCTGATTTCTCAGCACAAGTTGTAGACCCGATGTAGGCTTAAGCGTTGTGCTACTCCCGAACAAGATCGGAACGGTTGACCTATTTTGCGGGGCGGGAATACTAGCGGCTCAAAACTTCGACCGCTCCACCGTGTCATCACGTCGTCACGTTCTTAGCACGCGGCAAATACTGCGATCCACCTGCGATCTTCCCCCTGCGCGCACGCGTTCACTTTGCATCGACAAGTTTTTACAGGCCCGAAAAGCATGGAGCATACGATCTTCGCCAATAGCGCATTTGATTTGCCCGCCTTGCACGCCCGATGGCATTTCCAAAAACCCATGTCGTAGCTGACTTCTCTATGAATGCGGCCTTCACTGCCGCATCCGCTCAGTCATGAAATCATGTCGTACTAGCCCTCTTCAGACGACATACCTTGTAGTCGTTGACACACTGCTTGCAAATTACATACAAGTGATGCGGTCATCGGCGTACAGCATCTGTAATAGATGTATATATTGAACTGTACATGCCCCCTACATTCGGACCTCACAACATTACGAACCGACAACTCTTTTCAACATGTTGACCAAGAGCCTCTTTGTCACCTCTGTGCTTGCGGCATGCGCTGCCGCCGCTCCCAGGCCAGATGTGCCAGGCTACACCGATGCGGATGCCAGTTTCTCCGTCACTTTTGACCCAGCTGAGACTCCTGCCACCACCTTTGGTCCTGACGTCCAGGTTCCTGTGAGTATAATGCACAAAATCAATTGTGAGCCTAGCTGATTACTCTTTAGGCCATCCCTACCACTGCTGGCTCGGCCCCTCCCCGAAGGAGTTCCGATGTAACTGGTGCTACCAGTCACGGTCCTTACTCTGGTACCCCTACTACTACCGGAGCTGAGAAAGCGCCTACCACCCTTGGCACTGTTATTCCTCCTCTACCACCAAACCCAACGGCTACTTACTACAACACCAATGGCAAGCCCCAGGACCCCATGCCCATTCCCTACATGCCAGCTGGTGGTCTCGGCACCAACGGCACCTTGCCCCGCTACCTGGTCAACAGCGACTTTGACTACGAGTCCATTGCTCTTGGTCTATACCAGGAGTGGATTGAGCTTGACCTGTTCAACAACGGTCTTGCCGTCTTCTCTGAGCAAGATTTCCTTGACGCTGGTCTTACTGCTGAGGACCGTGCCTACATTGCCTTTATGGCTATCCAGGAAACCGGCCATGCCACTCTCCTTTCCAATATGCTTGGCGAGACTGCTCCTCCTCAGTGCACATACGACTACCCATTCCGCACTGTCCGTGAGTTCATCGACTTCAACATGAAGGTGACCCGCTGGGGCGAATCTGGTGTCTGGGGTTTCATTGCCCACCTCGACTCTCGCGAGGTCGCCAACATGCTTTCCCTGTCCATTGCTACCGAGGCCCGCCAGCAAACATCTTTCCGTCAGATGATGGGCCTCCCACCCATGCCCGTATGGTTTGAGACTGGTATCCCTCAGTCATGGCAATGGACCTACCTTGCCCCATACATCAGCTCTTGCCCCCAGAACACCACTCGTCTGGCATGGCAGAACTTCCCGGCTCTGTTCATTGACAACCAGCCCAACCCCAACCGCTTCTCGCCCAACGACACCCAGCCAAACGAGGTTGCTGGCCGCCGCCCCTCTGACCCCTCCGACTCTACCATCAACGCCGATGAGAGCTGTGTCAACGTCAACGCCACTGAACACCCTGGCTACTCTTGCTCCCCTGGTATCGCACGCAACCGTACTGAGCCCCTCTCCTTCCCCGGCAGGCTCGTCAACCTGACCTGGGAGAACCCTGGTAAGCCCGTTGGCCCCAACATGTCATATATCACCGACACTGTTGCCGGCGCCCCCGCTTTCGTCGCCTGGGTCTCGCAGCTCAACCTCACCTACACTCCTCTGGAGATTACCGGTAACAACACTGGATACACCTACCAGCCCGCCGGCGAGGTCTACGAGGGTGACCCTGCTGCCAACGACACCATGTTTGTTGCTCTCACCGACTCTGACCCGTACCTTACTCCTTTCAACCTCAGCATGATCAACCCTCATGTTGTTGCTCTTGGTCTTTACCAGGCTGGTTAAAGTGAAACGTATTGGAAATGTAATGTATGAAGGCTTATTAGCCGGTTTTAATCTGACAATTGTATGATTATTGGATGAGAAGTAGAAAGAAGTAGAAGTATATGAAGCTGTAATGATACCAATCTATGAACCAAGCATTTATCATCGAGCTATTGAGAGTCGTTTTTTCCTTGTGATGGTTTTTATCCGTGAACTTGTCTGTAACTACCAACCTTTTCGATTTCTTATCCTCTCACAAGCAAGAAATTTTACAAAAAGGCAAGAGTTAAAGTGCGATAAATCATACCACACCCCCCGCCCTTTCCATCTCCCCTCGCAGTTTCCCCATCTCCTCGACAACAACTTGATGATCATCCCACTGCTTCAACCCACTCACCACCACCACCGCAACCATGCCATCGCACCCTTTGATAAAAACCGGTACTCCACCCCCGTGAATCGCATACTGGCCCGCCGTCTCCCCGAGTCCTAGCTTCGCTTTAAACGCTTCTTCGTCGCCTCCATACTGGTTCTGCAAGCGCCACGTGCTCGCGGCGAAGCGGATGACGGCGGCGCGCTTGCGCGAGATCCAGATGTCGTTGTCGGAGGAGGTGCCTGGGTGTGTTACCTAGTCATTTTGATCAACTCTACATCTTTCCTGAAACTTGCACTCGTCTTTATTTTTTGTTCCTCCTTTCTTTTGGAGACTCTTTTTTTTTCTTTGAAAAAAAAGTTATACTGGTATATTTTCCTTTGAATGGAAAACGAATGAAAAGGAAATAAGATAAAGGGGAACGTACGGCGTGAAATAATACGTGCGGTGGTGTACTAATCGTCGAGATGTGCACGACGGCTGGTCGCTCTTCCGTAAGTAATCTCGTGCGTAGATTGACGCCGAGTTTGAATGCTACGTCTCCGTTCCAGAAGGGGAGTGTGCAGTCTTTTTCTTGCGCTTTGATGGCGTCGATGTCGCGGGGTGCGGTGGCGATGGGGGTGTGGTTGGGGAGGGTGACGTCGGGTGTTTCCATGGTTTTTCTTTGCTATGATACAAATTGCACAGAGTAGGGATTGAGCAGGATGGTTCTTCTTAGGGAAGAGAAGGGGAAATTGAGTGGGGGGATAAAGAACAATTGAGGGAGGTTTGAAAGGGGTTGGTATTGGATTTGATAGAGAGGGATGCAAGATATAAAAAGATGGGAGGAGGATGTTGTTAGTAGCACTAAATAGGTAATTGTAACAGTTGCCGATGCCGCCCGTCTGGGCGCTTTTTTTCTGACAGCTATCATCGATAATTGTGGTTCCCTTGCGGGGTGCGCTATTGCTGGCGCTGAACGCTTCCCCCGCCGCGATCATCGATTTCTTCTTACCTACAGATGTACTTGCATATTTTGTGAACGCAACTTTAGTTGAGAGAATGACTACTCGGGATTGCGTTTGGATTTGCTCAGAACGTATCGTAATCATTATATACTCCAAATCTAAATACTGAAACAACAGACTTTTGCGGTCCTAACCTGGGTGCCATCTTCTCCATGACTGTTTTTTTGACCGGATCAAGCAGCTCGTAGGGTATACGCTAAAGGACTTCAACTCGAAAAGTAGAAAATACGCATGTAAACTTTTGAGAAATTAACCTTCCTCAGTGTCCATCTGGTCGCGTCCTCTTCTTGCTCCTCCGCCACGACCGCGACCACCGCCTCTACCTCCACGGCCACCCTTGCCCCTCTGCTCGTGGAGATCCTTCATCTCCCTGACTGCTATCCTCTGTGCCTCATTGACTCGCTCCATATACACCATTGCCTCATCCTTGTTAATGACCTCCTCTGGGATCTGCTTACTAAGCGCATTCTCGATACGTAACCAGATCTCAAGATCGTACTGTGTGACAAAGGAAACAGCCTTGCCGGACTTTCCAGCACGTGCTGTTCGGCCAACGCGATGAACATAGGTCTGTGAATCACTGGGTAGGTCAAAGTTGACGACGAGATCAACAGCAGGAATGTCCAGACCACGAGCTGCTACGTCAGTGGCTACAAGAATATCGCGACTTTGAGTCTTGAACTTGTTGAGCGCACCCAGACGAGCGGATTGTGAGAGTTGGCCGTGAAGAGGGATAGCACCGAAGCCGAGAGTGCGGAGGAGAATGGCTATGCGTTGTGTCTCATTGACTGTGCGGCTGAATATGATGGTTGGGTGGCCAATGTTGTCGTTTAGAAGATGGATGAGGTACAGGTCCTTGTACTTGTGCGGAAGGAAAATGTATCGTTGAAGGAGTGTTGAAACGACTTGGTGAGACGAGCTGCTGATGCTCACTCGGACGGGGTTCTGCAGGGCAGCTCGTTGCAAGCTCTCAACTTTGCTGCTCATGGTCGCCGAGAACAAATATGTGTGTCGTCCCTCTCTGG